AAACACATAGAGCTGTGACTGGTTCACAATGGTGGGCCAATCATAGTGCACTATCTGCTTTGTGGCCCAATCAAGGCCCTCTATTCATCTGGTGGGCAGGATGATGTAACAAGATGGTGACAGGTCGTTTCAAACAACTTTTACATTAATTCTGGACTATTGGGACTTAAGTTGTTTATTTAGAAAAAGGATGTTATTTTGCCTTCTTCAACAGCAGACCGCCTCGTTTACCAACATCCGTTGCGGTGAGTAGGTCATGTTGTTCATTGTCCAGTACAGGGACGAAATTTTGATTTCAGAAGTGGGGGGGACACAGCAGGCTTGTGCGGATTTGGGGTGGAGGGTGTTATGTAAATACCCCTTGACACGTCACGTGCCCATCTCAATAATTTTTCCATCCTCATATATATATATATATATATATATATATATATATATATATATATATATATATATATATATCAAAGTTAAAAAATGTACAACTCTATTATTATTTTTATTTATTATCATTATTGAAGTGCAGTTTTGGCTGTTGACAATGGATAGGCCATTGTATTTATTGTTTTGGGTCTTTTTTATTGTTTTTGGTGCAACATTTTCTAACAGGGAGTGAGATTCCTTTTTTATTCAATTTTTGTTTGTTATTTTTATTCATTTAGAAGTTCTGGTTCTGGACATTTCAATGTTAAATGAAGGTTTATTTGTTGCATTTTAAAGGGTGTACTTGCATTATTATGATATATTAACATTATATTAGTGGTTATTTTGGTCTAGATAATGTTGACAATATCGTTTATCATCAACAATTTGTTGGACAAAATATCGTCCAGCAAAATTTGTTACTTTCCCAGGCCTAGTCAAAAGTATAAAAATTATTTATACATAAACGGTCCCTCCTGAGATCTGGCCGTTTGTTCATTTGCTGTGTTAGAGGACATGCTGAACTAATGTTTTACACATGATCATCACCCTAACATTTGAGTGTATAAAAACATATTAAATATGTTTTTTCCCTTAAAAGTGTTTAAACAGTTGTTGCATTTCAACACACAAAAAATAAATGGAAAAAATAAGATAAATCTAATGAAAAGTGTACATCTTTGACATTAAGCTTAAAAAAATCTGTTGACGATGATACTGTTCATTTTTCAGAGCTTTTTAATGTGAACATATACATTGCAATAGATAAGTTTACAATAAAGTTAAATGATAAAAGTTTTGAAGTTACACTTCTACTACTACTAGTAATAATAATTATGATGATAATAGTAATAATAATAAAACAATAATTATAATAATACGAATAAATTGTGTCTGAGGAGTCAGTTATGTGGAGGAGATGAGTTTGTAAAAGTTAGTTTTGAGTATGTTTGTGAAGGAGGAGGTGAGTCTGAGCTTAATGCAGGGGTGTCACATGTCCAACTTACGTTTTGACTTTGAAAGAAGTCTCTTATATCCACTTTTCGTTTTCTTGACATGCTGCCTCCTGGCTGTGCCTAACTACCAAAGACTCACAAATGAACAGTTGTTCAAATGTTATGTAATGGAAGCTGAGCTGAGCTGATATTACACAGCGTCTAGTTGACGATGTGACTCAGTACCGGTGTTCCCTAGCGGCTCCAAACTAGCAAAACAACGTGAGCACGTTCTGACTGTTTCCAACTTGAGTGACAGCAGCAACAGCCAATAATACGTTAGCAAGTATCAGCAGAGCCAATAGATTAGCTTTTGGGCGGGTCTAATAGTAAACCGGTTTCCGTTTCGGTCCTAGTGCTCAACCAAATCCATTTAATGGAGCGTAACATTGTTTTTGGAAGGAAAAAAGTGCAGGGGACCAAAACTGCCTTTTGAAAAAGTGGGGGGGACATGTCCCACCCGTCCCCCCCCAAAATTACATCCCAGGTCCAGTAGCATGTGGAGATCATTTGAAAGACAACGGTAGAACCTGCCCCACGACTGAGAACTGTCGATGGAGCGTTGCCAGACTAAATAATACATTTATTATTATAATTTAGGCTGGACTGTAACAGCAGGACTCTGTTTGGAGTTCCTACAGACCCAAACAACATCTCTAAAGGCTGGGATCCCTTTAAAACCAGAAGCTCGTCTCTGATAAATGAAACCTGAAACGTTTCTTCCTCAGCTAAAAGATGCTTTAATCATGGCCAGAATCTCACGGACGGAGACAGAAACTTTCACTTGGACTGACTCGAACTCGGAGGTTTACCTGGTCGGGAAAGGTGAGACACATCCTGATTTTCTGTCTCCATTCATTTACAAGCCGCTCTTTTCTTCACTTCCTGACTCTGAAACTAAACAGACGGGCTCCAGGAGCCGGTTATCTCTAGCCAGTAGGACAGAGGAGGAAGCAGACGGATTAAAGTGAAAGTACGCTAGTGGAAAACCTGAAGCCCGGCTGGGTCCGTTCATTCAGAGTTAATACCAGCAGCTGGTGTTGGAGAGCGACCGGTTTGTTCTACATGGATCATAGCTGAAGCTGAAAAAGCTTTGTGTGTGTATGTGTGGTGTGTGTGTGTGTGTGTGTGTGTGTGTGTATGTGGTGTGTGTGTGTGTGTGTGTGTTTATCCTAACGTAAGAATGACCCAGGTTCTGTTTTCCTGTCAGAACCTGGTAACTAGAGCAGAGTTGTCCTTCAGACAGCAGCTTTCACAGCCCCCCAGCCTCTGCGGGTCTGCCTGAGTCCAGTAGCAATGCAGTCAGAGCTCCAGCACCACAGACTGAATGGTTCTGAAGCGGTGGGTCTCCTCTCAGCTTAGATGTTCTCTGAGGTTCTAGTAAATGTTTGCAGCATAAATATGTAAAAACAAAAACATCAGGAAGTTTGAAGAAGCCAAGAGTAAGAAGTAAATACTGGAGCGTGCCCCAGAGGAACAGTAGACTGAGCTGTGGGAAAACAAGCTCTGCAGCGTTGCCATGGCAACAAGAGTGTTAATACCAGCAGCTGGTGTTGGAGAGCGACTGGCCACAGTTGGTGTTTATTCTCCATTAATCTGCTCAATGTTTGATTTAAAAAATAAAATAATAACATGATTTCTTAGACACAAGTGAAAAATGCTCCTTATTGTTTCCCTGAAGTGAGAACATTTCCAAAGACATGAGAGACAAGCAGCAGAGAACTTCATTATGGAGCCACTAAAACACGTTTAAAGTGCCTTTTATCTGGAGACAGGTGAGACAGCAGAGATAGGCGAGACAGGTGGTACAGCAGAGGCAGGTGAGATGGGTGAGACAGCAGAGACAGGTGAGACAGGTGAGACTGTAGAGATAGGTGAGACAGGTGGTACAGCAGAGGCAGGTGAGATGGGTGAGACAGCAGAGACAGGTGAGACAGTAGAGATAGGTGAGACTGGTGAGACAGCAGAGATAGGTGAGATGGGTGAGACAGCAGAGACAGGTGAGACAGCAGAGATAGGTGAGACGGGTGAGACAGCAGAGATAGGTGAGATGGGTGAAACAGCAGAGATAGGTGAGACAGGTGAGACAGCAGAGACAGGTGAGGCAGTAGAGATAGGTGAGACTGGTGAGACAGCAGAGATAGGTGAAACAGGTGAGAAAGTAGAGATAGGTGAGACGGGTGAGACAGCAGAGATAGGTGAGACAGGTAATACAGCAGATACAGGTGAGACAGGTGAGACAGCAGAGATAGGTGAGATGGGTGAGACAGCAGAGATAGGTGAGACGGGTGAGACAGCAGAGACAGGTGAGACGGGTGAGACAGCAGAGATAGGTGAGATGGGTGAAACAGCAGAGACAGGTGAGACAGCAGAGATAGGTGAGATGGGTGAGACAGCAGAGATAGGTGAGACGGGTGAGACAGCAGAGACAGGTGAGACGGGTGAGACAGCAGAGATAGGTGAGATGGGTGAAACAGCAGATACAGGTGAGACAGGTGAGACAGCAGAGATAGGTGAGATGGGTGAGACAGCAGAGATAGGTGAGACGGGTGAGACAGCAGAGACAGGTGAGACGGGTGAGACAGCAGAGATAGGTGAGATGGGTGAAACAGCAGAGATAGGTGTGACAGGTGAGACAGCAGAGATAGGTGAGACGGGTGAGACAGCAGAGACAGGTGAGACGGGTGAGACAGCAGAGACAGGTGAGACAGCAGATACAGGTGAGGCGGGTGAGACAGCAGAGATAGGTGAGACGGGTGAGACAGCAGAGATAGGTGAGACGGGTGAGACAGCAGAGACAGGTGAGGCGGGTGAGACAGCAGAGATAGGTGAGACAGGTGAGACAGCAGAGATAGGTGAGATGGGTGAAACAGCAGAGATAGGTGAGACAGGTGAGACAGCAGAGACAGGTGAGACAGCAGAGATAGGTGAGACGGGTGAGACAGCAGAGACAGGTGAGGCGGGTGAGACAGCAGAGATAGGTGAGACGGGTGAGACAGCAGAGACAGGTGAGACAGGTGAGACAGCAGAGACAGGTGAGGCAGGTGAGACAGCAGAGACAGGTGAGGCAGGTGAGACAGCAGAGATAGGTGAGACAGGTGAGACAGCAGAGACAGGTGAGACAGGTGATACAGCAGATACAGGTGAGACAGGTGAGACAGCAGAGATAGGTGAGACGGGTGAGACAGCAGAGACAGGTGAGGCAGGTGAGACAGCAGAGACAGGTGAGGCAGGTGAGACAGCAGAGATAGGTGAGACAGGTGAGACAGCAGAGACAGGTGAGACAGGTGAGACAGCAGATACAGGTGAGGCAGGTGAGACAGCAGAGATAGGTGAGACAGGTGAGACAGCAGAGATAGGTGAGACAGGTGAGACAGCAGAGATAGGTGAGACTGGTGAGACAGCAGAGATAGGTGAGACAGGTGAGCTACTGAGCAGAAGGGAAGATCTGACGGATAACGAGGAACTGAACTCATTTGTCCAAAGTGAGCAGAAGCACCTGCTGTAAATGCTCTAAAGACAGCTGACCCAAACAGAACCAGCAGAACCAGAACTGGACCTCAGACCTGGTCCAGATCACATCACCTGCTTCTCTGGATAGCTGCATGAAGGCGTCCACCCCTTTCTCCCCGTAGCTGCCCTCTGAGGCTACCGTGGAGACGTAGTTCCAACCCATGGCCTTCACGATGTCCACCATGGCCTGGGCCTGAAAACTGTCCGGAGGAACGACCCGTGAGAAGAAATCGTAGCGCCGGTCGTCACTCAGCTCTGGAGCCGTGGACGCATAGCTGATCTGAGGGATCTGGAAGGAAGGAAGGAACGAAGAGGAAACTTTAGACCTGTTAAAACTACAAACATGGAGCCTAAACCGAAGCTTCCTAAATAAAACCGTCTGAGATTCTCTCAGTGAGACTTGGTTTCTCAGAAGAACCGGGATTCTGAATCAATCAGACGGGAGCAGCAGCTCATCCTGGTTCTTCCTGAATTCCTTGTTTGGATCAGATTCATATCCCAGAAATCCAGAGCAACAGCTGTAGCTCTGCAGGTCGGTCTGGCCATGCTTCATTGTAGCCTCAGCAGGTCCAGTGGTCTAAAACCTTGTCCAATCACAACGCCCCATGTTTGTTAGGTGGGCATGACACTCCAGCTGTGACGGAGATGATCCACGAAGATGGTGGCGGCTCAGGAACAGCGCTTGTTTGAACATACTCAGCATCATCTTGGATTTAGACTTGAGCAGATAGATGTTCTTAAAGCAGCAAATATGGAAAACAAAAGAGCTTAATGTTCTAACCTAGTATAGATATAAATATATTGTGGACATGATAAAGAAACAGTAAAAATTTGTAGGTTGGTTCTCTTGCATTTGTCTAAAAACCTCCACCAATAACACGTTTCGGACCAAACTAACCAGTGGACCATCTGGTTGAGGGTCTCACCATACTTCCCTGCATCCGCCACTCATCACACGCTCATACTTAGCAACAGAGCACCGCTGGTGTGAGAGGTTCTCTGAGAAACAGCCGGCTGCTACCACTTCAACTTTAGGACAAATTCCCAGAATCCCAAAAAGAAAATCACCACAATAAAAGATGTTTGGACCTAGAAAATGGCGACTGGTGTTTGGCGCTATCTCGTTTCCTCTGGAAATGCGAGTTTCTGGTTCTGGTGGAAGTGAAACCAGGGAAGATCACCGAGGAGAGGGGTGAGTGTTCTGTGACCGTGTTGGCACTTGCTCTGTACGTTTACTATAACGGCTTAAGTCTTTTATTCTGAAAAGGCCTTCTCCAACAGTGTATGGTGGAGTGTGCCACTGACTGGTTTCCATAGCGATGAATGCATCACGTTGCTCATTGATCTGATTGGTCCTAGTGCTGTCCAATTGCGTGGAGAGAGTTTGACAGACAACTGCAGATTCTGCCTCATGGTCTATGGGTTGTGGCCAACTATAGATGTACATGTGTAAGGTGGTTGCCATGGCTACCAGATTTAAGCAGCCAAGACACTTTGGACTTATGGTTAATGGTCTGTATTTTACATAGCACCTGCTAGAGTCCAAGAACCCTCTAACACGCATTTCAAAACAATCAGCCATCCATCCGTTCACACGCTGAAGGTGATGAGCTACAATGCAGCCACAGCTGCCCTGGGAGCACGGATAGAGGCGAGGCTGCGAGCGCAGCTGGTTCCTCTGACCACCACCAGCAGGTAAATAGGGGGGACGCATTTACAGCGACAAGTGGGACTCAAACCAGCAACCTTCTGATCATGGGGTGGACACTTATCATCACCCCATTCGAGCTGGACCTTTAACTTGGACTCTGATGTCCGGTTCTTGCCCGATTCGAGCCTCAGGCTCTGGGAGCAGCTCAGATGCAGCTTTACTGGATTTCTAAAGCTAAATGTTGGCATGTTCAGGTGTGTTTAAGCTAAGCACAGGTAATAAATGAACATATAAACCCGTAGAATCAGGCTGGACCCGGTTCGGTGGAGCCGGTCACAGTAATTACACGAGACCTGTGTGAGATTAGAGGATTATTCCATCTCTTCCCATTAGGGTTTTCCCTAAAGTCCAGAATGAATTTCCATCCAGCAGGAAAATCTCAGAAACTCTGAAAATTGTAAATTTCCCCCCAGATTTGCCCTCAATTAGCCTCTGATCCCTGCAGAGTCTCTTCAGCTTCACGTGTGGACCAAAGGTTCTGGTAGAAACGGGTTCTTTTTCACAACTTTTATTAACTAAATAATAATAAAAATGACAAAGTCGTTAGTCTATAGCACAAACGAGGTGGTTTATCGGTATATTCTGTGGATTATTCCGACCATCAGCTGCAGGTAAATGAAGTAATCCAGCTGTTACAGATGCAGGAAGTTCAACAGGAAGGATTTTCTTTATTTACAGAATAAATTATCATCATAATCATCCAAAACGGTAAAACCCTTCATGGTTAATGTTCACATTTATAAAGAGAAGCTCTAAAATAAAAACAACAAACGACTCAAATAACACCAAGACCAACGTTTTTCTGCCTCACTCCAGAAATTCCTGGAGGAATATTCTTCCTCCACATCAAGTGACACATCACAGCAGTTTGTTAAAGGGGTTTCAGCTTCAGGTGCTCCAGCGGGACTCGGAGCAGACCCCGAGTCTCCGAGCTCCTCGGAGCCGAGGACCGGACGTCTCACTTTCTAACCGGCCCTTGCACACGCCACGGCCGTCTCATGTGAGCAGAATGAGCTGCTGGCACGTGTTCCCGTGAGGAACTTGTGTTGAAGAGACCCAAATGTGCAGTGAAAAGTCACGCTCGCCTCCTCAGAACCAGAACCAGCTAGAAACGAGCTGTTCTACCAGGAAAAAATATTCTTTTATAAATAAAGATCAGACAGAAAACAAAAAACCTCCATATCTGGATATCAGACACATCCCAGTCAGAATCCAGAGATAGGCTGTAAGAACTTCAGTGTTTAATTAAGCTCAGTCTTTAACTCTGTGGAAAGTATGTTTTTGTTCTGACCCAGTAAACCTAGTAAACCCAGGCACATGTATCCAGTCCGGAACACCTCAGCAGATAATGGAGTGTTTATTTCAGAGTGAGACTGCAGGGATAAATCTAAAGACGGACCTGAGACTTGGCGGTAGACCAAAGCCTGCTACCTGTCCAGTGATTGATGAGACTCATAAAGGACTCCGTCACACCTGCTGCTGTTCCCGTCTCCACCAGCGGACACAGAAAGGTCGCCACCTTGGCAGGTTCAATAAAACACCACCTGAGCTACAACGGGGCAGCAGCCAACCTGCTCGGAGACGAGGAGCGGAGGAACACTCGACCCAAGCTTCAAGGTGAAGGGTGAGGAGATGGATCAGAGCTGCTTGATGCACCAAAGTCTTGACCTTCTTCTAAACTGGAGCCCTTTGACCTTTCTCCAAGGACCAGAAACACAGACCCAGGTGTGATTTGTGCCTGTTTATGTTCTCAGGTGTCACTTATTGGATCTTTTTAAACTTTTTTTGTTGTAATTCGTGTTTCTTTTGTTTCTGCCAATAAAAAGTTGACTTTGTAAAACCATCAGATGGATGTTAATATATTTAAATGAGTCAAACCTGAGTAATTATTCTAACCTTCATCCCTTTAACATTTCTTTTGTTTCCGACATGTAAGGTTGTGTTGTGAGTTTCAACCAACGACACAGAAAGCAACAGGTTTAAACACTGGATCAGGGCGGCCATAGAAATAAGGAAGCGGTAACAGTGGACTATGCACCAAGACGAGGGGGCCTATCGGCTGTCTCGCATCTGGGACTCCCTTCTCCAGAAACCAGCCAGCGGGGGTGGGCGTGACCGACCCAGATCTGTCACGCCCACCAGAAGAACAGCTGATAAAGATGCCTCACACAATCATCTGACACCTCATGAAGACCACAGTTGTCTGTCAAGTTAAGGTAAATGAGAACTCACAACACGACCTTACAAGTCTGAAACAAAAATAATCTTCTTAACCCTCTCAGCCTCAAAATACGTTTTTATAAAAGGATAAACAACTAAGTCCTTCAGGGTTTCTTCTGAGTTAAAAAATGCTCATGAAACACGTATGTGGAGTAACCAGGTAGGAAGGTTTTAACGTTGCAAATCCGCAACGCCTGCCTTCAGAGGATTAATTATCTAAGAGAAGACACAATGGACATCTTCATCCCTTTATTCTAAACACCTCCACCTTTTCAGGCTACGTCGTCCAGCTGCAGAAACATCCACGAACTCTCGTCCTCTGTTGGTTTAACATGGAAGAGTTAGCTGACAGTTGGGCTAACGCTAGTTCACTTCCTCTGCTTTGATGAGGCTTACTGATTGTTTGGGTCATCATAAGCTTGTAGTTCTGGAAAATAAACGTGTAAATCTCACAGTTTGGATCAGTTCAGTGTTAAACGTTTCCATCTGCAGCAGACCTCTTCTCCTCAGCTCACTGTAACGCGTCTTAGTCCGACCCAGGAAGGGAGCTCACAGGAGCTGCGGAGGCTCAACATGTTCTCTTTTGCTATGAGGCATAAAAATTCCCACCACACTGGAACAAACATCCATTTGCTTTGTTTTTTGTTTGGAGCTAGCTGGTTCCATGTCACCGTCACCAGCCAGCTGCCGCTCTCCATCCATGTGGCTCCAGACAGATCACACGAACCTTCTGACTACCAAACATTATTGTAAAAACTAACTGGCAAACGTCTTAAATTCTATGTATTAAAAAGCATTAACGCTCCTAAAGGTTATTTTTTTACTTCCTACAGCGATGCAAAGACAGGAAATACATCACAGTTCTAAACCTTCACAGTTAAAGCACCAAGAGATCAACGATTTAAAACCGCAGCGGTGTTGTTTCTGTGTGGGAATGATAACGCTGCTAATTATTCAAAGTACATGTGAGTTCACATTTATCTGTCTCTCATTAAGATCAACTGAAAAAGCAACATTTAATTACTTGAGTCTGACAGGATTCAAACAGCCTGGACAGCAGCGAGGCTTCCGTTCATCACACGGATTATTTCTAATTAAAACAGGCCGGGCCGAAGCTCTAATTAAACGCTGTGAGAACATCACCTGCGTGTGTTATGTCATCATCGGACTCCTGCTTCTTTGACACATTATTGTTCTGCATTAATTAGGCAGCGGGCCACATCTGCAGGATCTGCTTGAGCTGATCCTGACGCACAAATCAGCAAGGATGATGAGGGTCTGAGTAGTCTTCACTCTGGAGAGTCAGAACCATCTGGGTCGCATCTGTAGCCACTAAACTAGAGGAGGGCAGGGGACTA